CAGGGCAAGATATGACAAAATAATAATTTATAAATTATCAAGGGTTCATGAGGGAGGGGGGAGCGGGGAGGGAGGGGGAAAATGGGGACCTGATGCCAGGGGCTTAAGTGGAGAGCAAATGTTTTGGGAATGATGAGGGCAAGGAATGTACAAATGTGCTTTACACAACTGATGTATGTATGGATTGTGATGAGTTGTATGAGTCCCTAATAAAACGATTAAATGAAAAATAATGCCCTTTGCTTCCTAGATCTTTCCTCTATTTCCTTTTACTTTCCTCTTGTACCACTGTCATGTTCAGCCTTCATTTGGGTTTCAGTAATTCCTTTTGGTTACATTGCCCTTGATCAAGCCCTACCAGGCCTCTTACACCCTCCTCCTCACTGATTTTGGATCACTTGTTGTTCCCTTGTCCCTGGGTTTGTTAACACTACTTCCTTTCCCCCACCTCTTCCTCTCCCATGTCCCCCGGAAACATCAGTCCCGCTGTTTTTTCCTCCAGATTGTTTATCCAGCCTATCTTATCTAGATAGACCTGCAAAGATAATAATATGCACAAAAACAAGACAGAGCAAAACAAAGCAACAAAAGAAAACAAAACAAGAACAACAAACCAATGACAAAAAAAAAGAAGGAAAGAAAAGAAAAGCCTGTAAATAGTTCAAGGTCTGTTTGTTGACCTTTAGGAGTGTTTTCTGGTCGAATCTGTTGGGGTTACACGCCCTCGCCCCAAAGTCTATTTTTGGTATTCCCTCAGGACTTCCTTGCTCTGCTTCCCTTGCTGTTCTGTTCCATGCCCTTAGTGTTTTGCCTCGGTGCGGTGGGGTCAGATCGGGTGCAATTCCCACACTGTGTCTCCAGTGTTGTCCCCTGTAGGGCTATAGTTCCATGAGGAATGTCATGTCTCATTGTGGGGCTGGCCATATGGTCCTCTCTGTGCATTGGCTGCTCTGAGCAGGGATATGGTCCTCAAGGCTTGGTGGGCCAGGATGTGCTCTACTCTCTCTTCCTCCCCCTTCATTTGCTCCCATGTCCTTCTCCCTGAGCTATAGCTTTAGTGCTGTCCTCTGAAGTAAGGTATGAGATTTCTGATGGGAAAAATTGCTCTTGCTTGATGGCTTAATGCTTAATGCTATAAAAATGTTAGCATAGAGCACATCTCCAATTAGGTAATTAGTAGCCATTCCAGCTCATCATTTATATTCACAATATAAGATACCAGAAAACCTTCCTCCTTTTTATGCTGGTTCCTGGTTAAAGTCTACAGAGCATGGTTGTGTGTTTTGAACAAACCTGTTTGCTGCCAAAATATGGATAATCTTAAACTACTCAGTTTACTGGCAGAAGCAGCATTTCACCAGCAGATAGGTAAAAAAATATATAGCAGTATCAAAAAGTTGGCATTTCTTTGGGCTAAGAATAAAGAGGGCAGTTGAAAAATCTTCCAAACGATTCTCTCTCTTCATTCCTCAACTTCAACTTACTCCATTAAATCAACCTAAGCCTTTTAATGAGAAAGAATGCATCCATAAATTAGGCAAGGTCCAAAACTGACTTATGTCAGTGGTTATCAGTTCAGGTATGTTCATGTCCTTTTCTCAAATAGTGAAACAATTAAGGACAAGGGGATTTCTTGTGTGTATCGCCCATGTCACATACTATGGGGTTTGTACCATAGTGCATAGTATATAATAAAGTAGATAACCTTGATTGAAAATTATGGTGTTCAGCCTGTGTGATCATGGTTGTTGATGGGATCAGATATCACACATCAAAGACCCAAAACAAAAATCATATCGATGTAAATGAGGATGGCGGAATAGAGACGCAAAGCCCATCTGTAGGCAATTGGACATCTCCTTACAGAAGGAAGAGATGAACCAGTCAGGGTGCAGTATAGCACCAACAAAACACAACTTTCTTCTAGTACTTTATTTCTTCCATCCCCCACTTCCCCTGGTAATAACCCTAATTCTACCTTACAAATCCGGTTACATTAGAACATGTACATGGGTCCAGACAAGAGCTTGCAACATGAGGAATCCTGGACAGGTAAACACTTCAGGACGAATAATGAGAGTATGGATACCAGGAGGGGAAGGGGAAGGTTGGGGGGAGAAAGGGGGAACTGATCACAATGATTGACAAATAACTCCACCCTCCCTTCCTTAGGGGAACAGACAACAGAAAAGTGGGTGAAGAGAGAGTGGTTGCGTAAGACATGAAAAAATCGTAATTTATAAATTGTCAAGGGATTATGAGCGAGGGAGGGTGGGGGAGGGGGGAGCTGATACCAAGGGCTCAAGTAGAAAAAAATGTTTTGAAAATGATGATGGCAATGTGGAAATGTCCTTGACACAATGGATGGATATATGAATTGTGATAAGAGCTGTAAATGAAATTATTTAAAAGAAGAGAAAAAAATGCTGGTGTCAAGGACAGGCATGTTATACCACAGGGATGCTTGGCTAACTATTATGCTAAATAAGTTTTGTGGAACCAGAAAAACTCCCCAAATGGGGGAAGGCCTGAGAATTACCTTTCTGGTCCATCACTCATTAATTCACTGACATGACTCTGGGCTCTGCAACTGTGCACTTGACTCCCGAACCTCACATTCAATTGCTCAGAGCAGGAGCACACGTAGTAATTTGAGGAACAATTAGAAATTATTGTCCCTGTGTGACATTAACATGTTATGTTGAATTAGTAGTGACAATAATTCTAAGTAGTGAAAACAAGGTTAAAAACTGTCAAGCTGGAAATGTCTGTGGTTGACCATATAACTTAAGTCTTCCTGCAAATAAACTGTTTCCTGCGAGAAATGGTATTGCTATAGAAGCAGTATGAATTTGCAAAGTCGCCAATGTACCATTTAGTATTTCAAATATAGTGATTCCAAAAAGCAGTGGCCTGGGTGCTCCAGGTTTTTTTTTAAACACCCCTGGCATTTTGACAAGTGGGTGAAACATTTGGAGGTTTTGGCTGACCACACATGCCTCACCATATCCAGCTATTGACTAGGCATCATTTCCTGCACAATCGCTTAACTATTGTTACATGATTTCATTTGTGTTATAACTGTGCGAAAGACAAACTTAAAATGCCCGTAGAAGCCCAATCCTTTCTCATTTAACTTAGGGTATACACCCGAGACCAGCAAACTCTGTTCGGATCCAACACTCACTTATGAAAAGTTGAATTAGAATGCAGCCGTGTAGTTAAGGCTGGTCTGTGTCTGCTTTCATGAGAAAACAAGCGTTGAGTTGCTGTGACATCGCCTCTATGAGCCACAAAGTTAAAACTATTTACAGCCTAGCTCTTTGCTGCCTGTTTGCCAACCATTGGGGTGCACTGTTGGATGGTTTCGTAGGGAATCTACGCCTCACAAAGACAGGTATGCTTTCTTTTATGAAACCCACATCAGTTAAGGAAACCCAAAACTTTAGCTCTCAAATAGCAAGAGTTGTGTCACAGATTTCTTTCCAGGGATTAATTCCTAGTCAAGAAAATGGGACACACAGTTTCAAAAAGTGTTCTTTTATTATTTCTAGTAACATATAATGCATAAATACTCTATCTTATATGGCCTTTTACAAAAGAGGTATAACTTAAAGATTTTATCATTATAAAGAAAGTATAAAAATAAATATGTTCATATAGGCATTTATTACCAATTATAATCCTTCTTAGAAGGAAGGCACAAATCAATACTTATAAAGTACATACAACGTATAGTAACATATTTTACTATCTACATATGGAAAAAGACATTTTCTCTATCATTGTTAAAGAGCTGGACAGACATTCACCAGGATATGACTGTTGGAACAGCTTCTGGGGGTGGACCTGCTACCCCTCAGTACCCTCCACACCATGAGACAAGTGACCTTGACATCCCCAAGCACTCGGGACCTGTTCCACACCCCCCATTTGTCTTCTGGCATTACGTTCTTTTGTGTAATCTGACTGGCTTTATTGAGACCCATTGGTTCCTTCCTGTGCACACAAAGGCAAGCCTACATCAGGAGGAAAGAAAGGCAGAGGTACCCAATGTACTGCGGCTCCTCTTGTTTTATACAGCACCTGATACCTCACTTCCTTGTCTTTGGCCTCTGGATATTTAATGTATCCTTACAAATTACATGTAATTATTTCTTCATCAAAAAACTTATTACACAAATAAAGGTGAAGATGATACAAAAAGGCAAAGATGAACGCATTGGAGCCATTTCAGTTGGCTGTGCACCTCTCAGGCTGAGCAATCTGAACTCATAACTCTTGGTAGGAAATGGGGTGCAAACTCTTCTCTCAAACCACAACAGCATCAACAAGGCTGGTCCCAGACCCTATTTGCACTCCCATCCCTGCCCCACCCTCAGCCCCACCCTGTGTGTTAGTGAGGGAATGCAGGCCATGTTTAAATGCCAAATCTCATCCATCTCCTGCTCTTCCTTTTCCAAACCCCATGATACAAAGGATTTAATTGGTACCAGGCAACAGGGATTGTAATCTTTCTTAAGTGTATTTTGGCTACGTTTTCTTCTTGATTAGTCTGCAATAGATGTAACGAAAGATACGACGCTAATCGCTTAGGACTTGAATATCTTCTAGTAACTCCCATTTCCTATCCTATCAAATGCGTAAGTGGTGGGATATTCACATGATCAAACATCTTTTCCACCGACTCCCATGCTCCCATCTCGCTGACACTCCTTGTTGACTTGCAAAGTCCATTGGGCCCCTCCAGCCTTCTTTGTGTCAGAGCATCAGCCCTCCCACACTTGGCTTTGCCCTCACCACTGCCACTGCTTAACTGCATTCTGCCATTGTGCAAAAGTCAATGTAATGTTTAGGTTTCTTTAGGTGATCACAGCTCTCGTGGGCCAACACCCCCCCATCATGGGACAGACACTTCAAGGTTCTTTTTTTGTAACCCTTCCCACAAGTCTTTGAGCACGGTGACCACTCCCCCAACTGCCAGTGGGGACAGGGCACATCTGCACAGGGCCTGGTGCTGGCTGGTTTCACTTCCCTGGCACACTCTGAAGCAGGTTGCCCGTTAATATCTCTGCATTCCACTAGTCTCCTCTGCCACCCCAGTCCACATGTCTTGGAACATTCACCCCACTCTTCAATGACCCATTCTGAGAAGGTAGGGATTGCATTGAAAGACTCCATCTTCTTCTTCACAAAGTAAGTGAATTTGATTTTCGGTCGGAGGGCGTTGCCCACAGTAAGGACCTGGATGGTTAAGGGCTCTTTGAGGGGGCTGAAGCTGAGGATCCGTTCCAACACCGCAGAGGAGCCACTGTACCTCAGGACAGTACCTTTGTAGGTGATGTCTTGCTCTAAGGTAGACAAGGTAAAGTCACCATTAAGGATATACGTGCCATCGGCAGCTTTGATGGCAAGAAAACTTCCATTATTTCTGGATCCCCTCTGGTTCCGCTGTTTCACTTCAATGTTTGTGGCTCCAGTTGGAATTGTGACAATGTCTTGGTATCCAGGTCTGCAGGGACAGAGACGGAAATAAGTGAACTCTCATCCCCCAGCTTAAACCCTGCATGCGAAGGCCTGATAATGGTTTTTCATATTTAATTATTTTACCAGAGCAGTATAAAAGTTATATCTGAATGATAAGATCTTTTTAAAGGCTAGATCATTTAAACTTACTTTGCCCTGGTGACGGATCCTGTTACTTTCTTACACGTGGATCCGTTTCCTCCACAAATGCCACATTTGTCAAATTTCTTTTTGGAGTCAATGATGCGGTCACAGCCAGCTTTGACACATTGTCCTTGCACACAGACAGAGGTGGAATCCGGGCTACAGGGAGTACCATCTACCACCTGGCAAAAAACACGTATCTGCCATTACACATTACCAAGGGAAAGAGACGACACCACGGTAATACAGTTTTCCTCAATTAATGTTAGTTCTCTGCTTTCCTGGCCATTCTAATTAGAACAGTCCTTCCCATACACCTTGCAGACTCTCCCTGTCTCTGATCTATACTACGAATCAATCACCATGACCAGTCGCCACTGGATGGCTTCTCACTGATGACCACCAGGAGAACTGGACTCAGCGGAGGATTTTATGGCAGTCTACCCACTGTGCCTCTGGGACTCCTTAACACAGCACTAAAACATCTAACACCAAACCAAATTCTCTCATGTTGTTATCTGTTTACTCTCCTCATCTTCCCTTTAGCTAAGGTCAGTAAGAGCAGTTTCCTTGTCCATGTGTTTACTCTTGGGTCTTCAGGACCCAGAATAATACCAGGCAATAGTAGTTGCTTAAGCCATGACTTGCTCAATCTGCAATAGAGGAATATTTTCATAGTGTCAATGACACATCAAATAATATGAGGCTTCTAATCTTATATATGTCTTGAAGCCTATTAAGCATCAATGCTCAAAAAAAACTTACATGCACTGCTGTTGAGTCAAGGTTGACTCACAGCGACCCCCTGTGGGTTTTGGAGACTGCATCTGTTTATAGGAGCAGCAAGCCCAGTCTTCCTCCTATGGAGCTGCTGGTGGTTTCAAAATGCTGATCATGTGGATCATAACCAGTGTGGAACCACTACACCACCAGGGCTCCTATCAATGTGCAGGCTTCCATTTTAACAAGGCCATTGGCATATGCTAGATACCCGGTAGTACATACTTTGGACTCTCCCCTAACATTGGCTGCTGTGTTACTTAATATGTAATTTATCTAACTATAAGTTATATGTGTAACCCGCTATACAGAATCCCTTCATTTTTCCAGACTTTTCCTTGTATGCTACTGTTGTTCTCACTGCCAAGAAGTCAGTTCGGGCTCAGTGACCTTTGGGACAGAGCAGAGCTGCCCTGAAGGCGTTCTTCCTGAGATGGTAACTCCATGGGAGCAGAGAGCCTCCCCTTTCTCCTGGGGAGCGGCTGTTGAATTCCAACAACTGACCTGCGGGTTGCAGTGCAATGGGTCACCCACAACAACACCACGGCTCCATCAATCGTGTTAGGTGCCAACAAACTGATCCTGACCTATAGTGAAACCGTGAGACAAACTACACGGCCCGCAGGCTTCTGGCTGTCATCCCCACGGGGCAAATTGCCAGTTCTTTCTCTCATGGAGCTGCTGGGTATGTTTGAACCACCACAGCCCAGAACTAAATTGTTGTGCCACACAGTTGAAAGAATCACTAGTGCTTGCGTCAAGTGTCTCACCTATCCAAAGCAACACCAACCTCCAAGGAGTTAGTTGCTCATTTGAAAGTGAGTACAGGTTCAGAGACAAATTACAGAAGGCATACCAAAGGTTGAATGGATAGACAGCAAGTCCAAACATTGGTTTGTAGGGAGATCATCAGTGTAAATGTAACTACCTTGGGCTGAAACACAAAGAAGTGACCAGTGACTTTGGCTTGACAGATGAGCTTGCACCTGTCCTTTGGAGAAACGCCAGCGTACTTGGGTGTCCACTCCATCGCAGGCCCGCTCCCGAAGGAAGTCATTGAGAAGTCATTGTGTGCCTCGCATTGTTCCTCCCTGAAGGTTTTTCCTGGAACGAGAACGGCAAGATGACATTATCCATTTCCAGCCCTTAGCTGCCTGCTTGTGGGCCCTGCGTTTGCACCCAGTTCTCAAACTTCGAGTCTGTTTCTACTCACCATTATTATCTGGGCAGTCCTCAATGTTACAGGACCGATAGCGCACGCGCTTGCCTTCACAGTACTTTCCTCCGTTTTCGGGGACTGGGTTGTCACATTCCCTCATTGTGTACTGAACTCCTCCCCCACAGGTCCGGGAACACTCGCCCCAGGGCCCCCACAGTCCCCAGCTCCCATGAATAGGAGTCTAAAAGGACACACAGAGAGTCAGCATTAGCAATTTGTAAATAGAACTTTTAGGGAATGAAAGAAAAAATACGGGTCACAGAATCAATTGCAAAAATAATCTCTCTCGCCCACAGTGAATAACCTCCCTTGAATTCTCTCTGACCACTGACCATGGAGGTGAAAAGCCTTGCCCTCAGACCGAGTGCAGCAGGGAACTGACAGGTATAGTTAGGTTTAAATTGAACATCACTTGCTTTCCCTTTTACCCATTCTTAATTTGTTCTATTTTCATTATGTTTTGCTTTCTTTTGGACTGAGGCCTTCTTGTGTTTCATCTTGTTACTGTTATTAGTGGTTTTATATGAAATTCAGAGTAGGAAAATTTATAGACAGTAATTAGATGAATAGTTTCTTAGGGTTTTGACAGGGGAAGTTGGGGGTGGGGGAGAGGAAGCTACTAACAGTAAGTACAAAACTGAAGAAAATGTTATACAATTGATTGTGATAACTGTACAAGTGTCTGATATATTAAAAAAATTAAATATATTTTTAAAGATAAAAATATGTATAAGCAATGCTGCTCTTCCCACAAAATAGATTTTTTGGGAAAATGCAGCCCTTTTTTAAAAAATGATGTTATTTGTGATAACATGTAGTGGGTTCATTATAGGACTTTTTTGGTCATTAGTAAATAAACAAATCTCTTCTAGGAACAATAAAAAAATTCTTACATCCGTGCTAGAGGACACAGATTGAACTTGGTCTCAAGTACTTTGACTTCACTGGGGAGCCAAATTCTACTGTGAAAAACATGGCATCACCCTAAGTTGCAGTCGGCTCCGTAGCAAATTTTTGGTTTGTTTTCTCTGGAGGGGTTGATTCTTTTCAATGATAGCATTTAAAGGAACATGAATTTTTGACAGTAGAAAAACTCACTCCAAAGTGCTTCCCATCGGTCTTGTTCACACACTGGCCACTGACACACCACTTTCCCTCTCCACAGCTGGTCCCATCTGCCCATGGGAAGTATTTGGTTTGGCACACGAGGTGCCCATTCATGGTGCCGGTGCACCACAGAGTCAGGCAGGTGCTGGCTGAGTCGGGACAGTGCTTGGATTCCTCCCCAAAGAGAAACTGGCACTGCCGGCTGGCATTATACAGAGCTCCTGGGAGATTGGAGGGGAGCCGTAAGGATCTCTGGGGCTTGTCCATCAAACATTCACCTGCAAAGAAAATGCCAGCCTGCCATGAGTAAATGATTAAAGAACACATGTCATGGGAGACCACATTTTCAGAAAGCACTTAGTAAGGAGATAATACAAAAATGAAAACATTTAAAAATGAAGGAATGGAACATTTTAAAATAGATTCTATCATGAGTTGGTATGTCTACGTGAATAAGAAAGTGAAGCCAAATTCACAGCCATCAAGTCAGTTCAGGCTCATAGCAACCCAATAAGGCAGAGTAGAATGGCCTCTTTGGGTTTCCAAGGTGGTAAATCTTTACAGGAGTAGAACGCCTGTCTTTCAGCTGCAGAGGAGCTCTGGGTTTCAAGTGCCGATGGCAGCACTGATGCCACAGGGTCCCCGTTAAGAATGATGCTATAAATGACATGGCTATGTTAATAACGGCATGTAATTACTGCTCTGCAAGCATTTTGAAAGAGTCTACTTTGGGATCTATTCAGCCTGGAGCACAACATTTTACTGGGAATTCACGTGTGAAATTTGACGATCTTGGGAGTGAAAATTAATTCGGAAGGAGCTAAAATAGGAAGCACAACGAAGAGACCAAGAGCTCATATAACGACAGCCCTACACTTGGAAGCGAAGATCCATCTAAAAAGAGCACCGCGAGGGTCTTACCGTGACCATTATCCAGAAAGGACGTGATCATGGACGCACTGCAGGGAGACCAAGGCTGTGCATAGTCCAGGTTGGAGAGTATCGATGACATCAAGTGGGTCTTCTGGTCCACACTGTTAAAGTTGGCACACTGGTTTGCATCATCGTGTGGCATGTTCAACACGTGGCCTAAGAAGCATCCAGAACCCACATTAAAATTTAGATCATACTTACCCTCCCTCCCCAGCCGAGACTGGTATTTCGTGCAGCTGTGTATCTAGAAGGCATTTATTTTTTTCATGGAGTGTACAGAAACATGCAAGTATCCAAGTGTTAGTTAAAAAGAAAACCCAAACCCACTGCCATCGAGTAGCTTCTGACTCATAGGACAGAGGAAGACAGCCCCAGCGGGCTTCTCCACAGAAGCAGATGGCCATATTGCCGTGGAGCAGCTCGTTAGCAGTCAGTGCATAACCGCTGTGCCATGAGGACTCGTCTAAATGTCCACAGTTCCTATTATTGTAGTTTGTATCATAATATGGACAATTTCAGAAGTGCAGAAAAATATTTTCTAAAATGTCTATGAAGCTATGATCTGTATACTCTCCCTCTCAAATGAATATATGTGTTGATCAGTTTGAATTTTTAAATGGCACTTCCAGAACAAACTCAGTGCATCAAGTCAATTCCAATCATGATAACACCATAGGATGGAGTAGAACTGCCACTGTGGGTTTCCTAGACTTTAACTCTTTACAGGAGTAGAAAGCCTTGTCTTTCTCCCTTGGAGCATCTCGTGGTTTCAAAGTGCTGATCTTGTGGCTAGCAGCCCAACACATAACCACACCACCACCAAGGCTCTCTACAGTGCTCTTAGCTCTCACTACAAAGCACACTCACCTAATTCATGGGCTGTAGTGAAGGCAGCTTTTAAACCATCATCTTCGATGACTGAGCAGCTTCTGCTGGGAACACACATAGTTCCAACATCAGCCATCCCCAGAGTATCACATGTATGGGCGCCACACAAGTCCTGGGAAAAGCAAAGGTGCATCCTTAGTAATAGAATTAGAGCATTCACCTTGGACTCTAGTTTTTTGACAGGTGGATGTCTTCACTTAGGTTTTGGAGCATCTATGTTCATTGTTGTCAAACTGTCCTTCAGGAGGACTTTGTAGAACTCGCCCAACATTGAAAAGTATCAATGACCATTCTCTTTATATTTATTTGTTTGTTACAAAACAGGTGCCCCAAATGATTGTACCCTAGGTGGCACTGCTCACCTCTTTGGTGAAGAGAATCGCTGTGTCATAGTGTTCAGCATCCCGATCACTGGGTGGGTTGTATTGCGTTTGCCAATTGCAGAAATTCCGCAATGTACTAGCAGCATTAGAGTTCACTTCGGGTCCCTTCTCTTTTTGATAGATGACCAAGATCTTTACCACCACCAGGCTAATGGAATTCCGAATGCTGGGGTGTTTGTACAACCTGGACGCCACAGAGAACAAGGTGAGAAGGTAGTGCTTCAGGTCCTTCCCATGGAACTCCGCCATTGTCTGGTCAGCCACAAGCAGGGTTTCCACATAGCGGGGGCTGGACACAAAACGCTTCTTTCTTCTGCTTCCAGTTCCTGCAAGGCGACAAGGACAATTTGTTTGCTCATGGGCAGTCTATCTAAGAAAAACTGCTGCTGTGTTTTGTTTTGAATTTTCTCCTTTACTTTAAATAAAGAGGCCTGGTGTTCTTTGGAGTGGTCAGATTGTATTTTTTTAGAAACTGGTTTAGGCCCTTTTTGAAACCCTCCAATCTGAACAAGGAAGGAGGCACATCTTCCCCAGCTGTAGTAAAAACTTGGATCTCACGCAGCCAGGCAGAGCGCCCTGAGTCACTCTTTCACAGGCCAGGGCTCAAATCCTGAATGAGATCATCAGTCTCCACGTGGAAAGCCCTGGGTAGGACTGGGATGGCTGCCAAGGGGCAGGGCCCGAAGGAATCTGCTCCGTGCTCTTGTTCCAGGGGTCCCTGGGGTGCATGCTCAGCCAAATCCGGGCGCAAGGACCACCCGCACAGCCCAGCAACCTCAATCTAGTGGCCCCAAGAAATACCTTAAGCTCCAGCTTTAACTTTGTAGCGTCTGCTGTAAAAGAGCCCTTGGCAGGGCTTGGGACCCAGCCTGCTCCCCCACCCCCACCCCAGGAAGTTTCATGAGTACATAGCCACTTCAAGGAGCAGCCGTGCAGGGAAAAGGGAGAGGGGGATCACAAAACAAGCCTCAAGAGAAAGTGAAAGAGAGGAGAGGATGAAATGGTAGAATGATAAGACCTGGGGAGCACGCATTACATAGCAGAGTGCATCCGGAAAGGCCTAAGCACCTTTAGCTGCTCTCTCGAAAAACAAATCCCACTGCCTTAGCACACAGCAGCCTATAGGACAAGGTAGAAGTGCTCTCAAAACTGTGCATCTTTTGTCGTGAAAGCAAGTGAGTTCGAAAGGCAGACCTTGTGGTTAACAGCTCCAATGCTTAACTGACTGAGCCCCTTGGCACCTTTCTTATGGCTTCTCTGCCTTCCAGTCAATTCTGACTCCCATTTTAGGAGGGCAGAATTATGGCCTTCAGAGAGGCAGCAAACTGGAGCCAGGATAGGCAGCCAGGAGAGATGGGGCCAACTGGTCAAACACCTCCCAAGCAGGATTTGTGGAGGGCACCCATTGGTCGGCATCAGTCTCCTAAAAAGGTCAGGAGATGGGGGTCAGGGCAGAGGCTCAGGAAACAGGGATCACACAGCAGTTGCCCAAAGCGGTGAGCTGCGCATTGTGGGATCACCACTGTTCCCCGGACCCAGCGTGAGAGCTCAGGCAGCAATTACAAAACGCTGCACAGATTTGCAACCAGGCCAAGGGACGCGCCCACGGGCGCGCGCATGCGCGCACATAGGCACAGGCGCGCGCGTGCTCGCGCGCTAAAAACGAAATTAATAAGGATGGGAAAGAATTGTCTCACTCACACTGAGTAAAATGGAAAGACTAGAGTTACTAATTTTCCCATCTAGGACGGTCAGCAGAAAACAGTGGGTTTGTCCACGCTTCATCATTCGTTACCCAGGCATACGGAATTAAGTTTTCTATCAGGACGTGATTAACTCACACTGGACTTCGCCACCTTGAAATCCAAATCACACCTGTACACTCCAGAGCGCCATCCTGTCTCATTTAAGGTGCCGGACTGGCGTCTACCCTTGAGAAAGCAGACAGGGGCAAAAGGAAAGGGGGTGGCAGAAAAACTCTTCTTGGGCTGGTACCTGTTGGCTGTTCTGCGCGTGGCTCCTGACCTTGACCCCCAGCTTCTCCGTCCTCGGGCCCCTCGCCCCCGGGGAGCAGTCTTTCTTCGTCCAAGACCCCGCACTTGGCGCCGTCACCGCCCCGCCGCCTCCGACGCAGCAGATGGAACTGCGCGGGCAGCGGCTCGGCAGCAGCCGCCCCGGGGGCGAGGCTCGCGGCGGGCGCGGCCGCGGGGGCCGGCTGTATGAAGAACTCCTCGCCCCGCAGGTAGAAAGCGCCTCGCACGCCCTGGCAGAGGCTGAGCGCCGCAGCGGAGCCCGGGTCGCCGTTCACCGTGCCCGAGTAGAAGCAATGGGCCAGGTTGCCAGTGGGGTCTGAGTTCAAGGCCTCGGGCCCGGGGCTGCGCCCCAGGGTCTGGAGCGTGAACCCCGGGGCCAGAAAGCCGTGGTCGGGCTGCAGCTCCAAGCGCAGCTGCCGCCCGAAGGCCTCCAGGCTAAGGCGCGTGGTCTCCTGCCCCGCGGCGCGCTCCACTGCGGGCAGCACCAGTTCTTCGTCGTCCTCGGCTGGGCGCCCTCGGGTGCCCGGAAAGACCAGCAGCGCTACCACGAGCCATAGCACCGTGGGTACAGTGGCCGGCTGCAAACCCCGGGGCTTCCGCGCCGCCGGCTCTGCTTTCTTCATGTTGGTGCCTGGCACGTGCCTTCGGAACCCTTAGGGGGCCGCTCCCAATATTCAAGCCCCGGGAGACACTGCACGCTGGGGTGCAAGGGGGCGATTGTTCCGGCTAGGAGTGAGCGCAAGTCTCCCTCTGGACTAGTAAAGTTAGCAACTACGATTAGTCTTTGAAAAACCAGCGCCAGGAGCTAGCTGGCTGCAGCCGGGCTCCTGGAGTCCCCTGGGTGGAGGTACTGCCGCGCGCCTGAAGCGTTGCCTCCGGGCCAGAGTGGGACGCGGTGGGCGCTGGGCTGCCCCTCTCGGGCCTCGGTCTTACTGCGGGACTGTTCGCTCGCAGGGCTCTGCCTTCTCAGTCCCGGCGCATGCCTTGGCTTTGCAGTCCCCAAGAACTCAGAGCTGCTTTCCAGTGAGTGCAAGACACAGGCAACGGAGCAGTCCTTTTATAATCCACAGTGGGAGGGGGAGGGGAGGGCCCCTCTTTTCCCCGCCCTCCTTTCCTCCTCCCCCTTGGCCTGCTCATCCCCTTACGACTCCGCCCCCTGAGCTCACCCGGTGCTTCACCGCGCGCAGCGCTGCAGGGCCTGGCTGGGGAGGGGGACGGGGGCTGGCGCTGGCTCTGCGCCTTGGGCTCATCCGTCTGAGGGCAAAAGACGCACTCTTTATCTCTAGGGTTTCAAAAGGGAGAAGGATCGGCCCCCCACCACGAATTCCTGGGAACCCCCCGCCCCCTCCTGCTGTACCCTCCTGTAAGTAGGCCCTTTACACACCCGGCGGCTCTTCCCAAGAGGGAGGCTGGGGTGGAGACTTGGGTCTTTTCTCCAAGATTTTCCTGCTTGGAAAGCTACCCCCAGCACCCTCCTTTCCAATCTAGGCGAGATGCCAGGGCTGCCTTTTCTAGAAAAGTATTCCACCCCACTGTATCCCCACCCCCTGGTGTGTGCATTCTCTTCGTCCCAGCTTTTTTTCGGGGTAAGATTGATTGGCCCCACGCCTCCCCTAGAAAGTACGCTTGGGTGGGAAGACTGGGGACACTGCCCAGGCTTTAGATTTTACGACTTATTTGCATTGAAACTCCCTACCCACCCTCGCCACACACAAACACTTCTCAGCCCCAGACACCTTCAAACGTCTCTGTGGGGACTCTGGTTCCGACTTCCGGATTAGGTGATCTGAATTGGGATTCATTTCCACATAGCTTTAGCAGCGACTTCCATCGATCAACACCCACCCCTAAGAAGTAGACCAATCTAGCAGAAACGGTAAGGTATCCACTTTAGGGAGGTGGCGGCTGCAACAGTGATCGCTTTGGGGCTTGAGACGTAGAGATTGTGCCTTTGGGCACATTAGGAAGCCGGCTTCCTTCCTGGACCCCGCCCCCACACCGCTACCCACCAGGAAGGGCCCTGGTCCCATTCCAGTTACGAGAGTGAAAAAAGCTGCGCCTCCCCACCTTTGCGCCCTAGGGAAACGCTCAGCCGCTCCTCTACCCGAGAGAGGAGGGGCCCAATGTCACCAGAGGAAGGAACTGTTTCACAATGCTTTCTAGGGCGGAAAGCCACCGGGACAATGGTGAGAACGACCGCTCAAATCTGGAGCAGACTCGGTCCTTCACACTCGCACACTCCGCCTTCCACAGCCCCCCACCCACGACCCAGGCCTCCCTCCGTTTTCACCCTTTCCTCACCACTCCCCAGGTTACCCCCACCCCCCCAACACACACACACAC